CCCCCCGGCTCCATTCCCGTTCTCCCCCCGGGCCCCCTGTACGCCCCCCTCATGCTGCAGCCAGGTCCGAGTGTTTCCTTTGGGCCCCTGTAGGGGGGCCTCCCATTGTGCTGTTTTCCCATCGCCACACTCTGCCATGTGCCACTTTCGGGTTTCCCCTTCACACTGCTGGGGGGTTTCCCATTTTGTAAATGGGGTTTGTGGCAGATTCGGGCCTCCATTGCTGTGCCGGCCCCGTAATCTGCCATGGGGCCCCGTACCGTCCTCATGCTGTTTCCCCGGGCCCCTTTAATCTGCCCTGGGCCCCTTTGGGCCTTTCCCCCTTTTGCTGCTGCCAGGCCCATTGATTTTGCCACTTTTCGGCCCCCCCAATTGTTGCTTGGGCCCCAATTTTGCCATGGGGCCAAATTTAGGGGGCCTCCCTTTCTGCTGCCACCAGGCCCGTAATCTGTCATGGGTCCCTGTACGGCCTCCATTGCTGCTGTCTCCATCGCCACACTCTGCCATGTGCCACTTTCAGGTCTCCTCACACTGCTGGTGGGTTCCATTTTGTCATAGGGTGCTGGCAGATTACGGGCCTCCCATTGCTGCTGCCAGGCCCGTAATCTGCCATGGGCCCCTGTACCGCCTCCTCATGCTGCTGCCAGGCCCGTAATCTGTCATGGGTCCCTGTACGGCCTCCCATTGCTGCTGTCTCCATCGCCACACTCTGCCATGTGCCACTTTCAGGTCTCCTCACACTGCTGGTGGGTTCCATTTTGTCATAGGGTGCTGGCAGATTACGGGCCTCCCATTGCTGCTGCCAGGCCCGTAATCTGCCATGGGCCCCTGTACCGCCTCCTCATGCTGCTGCCAGGCCCGTAATCTGTCATGGGTCCCTGTACGGCCTCCCATTGCTGCTTCTCCATCGCCACACTCTGCCATGTGCCACTTTCACGTCTCCTCACACTGCTGGTGGGTTCCATTTTGTCATAGGGTGCTGGCAGATTACGGGCCTCCCATTGCTGCTGCCAGGCCCGTAATCTGCAATGGGCCCCTGTACCGCCTCCTCATGCTGCTGCCAGGCCCGTAATCTGTCATGGGTCCCTGTACGGCCTCCCATTGCTGCTGTCTCCATCGCCACACTCTGCCATGTGCCACTTTCAGGTCTCCTCACACTGCTGGTGGGTTCCATTTTGTCATAGGGTGCTGGCAGATTACGGGCCTCCCATTGCTGCTGCCAGGCCCATAATCTGCCATGGGCCCCCGTACCGACTCCTCATGCTGTGACGTTGCAACAAGGTGGAATTCAACCCTACATATGTTAGACCGCCTTTACGAACAGCGAAAGGCCATCACCGATTTCCTGATGTTACAAGCGGATAAAGGTACTCCCCTGTGTAACTTAGATGTCAGCCATTGGCAGCTCATGCGTGACACCTGCCGCTTGCTCAGGCCCTTTGAGGAGGCCACGCTATTCGTGAGTCGGCAGGACTATAGGATGAACGACGTCATTCCTCTGTTGCACGTCCTGGAACAAATGCTGTTAACAATGGCTGGTCAGGGTGCGGTAGACGTGGCGCACAGATCTCAATGCCACATGACCCCTGTGGGGGCAGGACAGGAAGAAGAGGAGGAGGTAGAGGAGGACATTGGTGCTCAGGAATTATTGAGTGAAATGGGTGGTTTTTCCACTCAGCGGACAGGAGTGGAGGAGCAGGAGCATTTGGTAGAGGAGGAGGAGGAGACAGAGGACCCAGACGCACCATGGCAGTATGCTGTGGAGATGGAGGCAGGGAGTCCCTCGCATTCCTTGGCACAAATGGCCCATAGCATGCTCGGTTGCTTGCGTAGCGACAGCCGAATAATAACCATCAGACAGAGGGATGACTTTTGGCTGTCCACCTTGTTGGACCCTCGCTACCGTTCAAAAATGGTGGCCTTTTTCACACCTGCTGAGAGCGAGGCCAAAATAAAGTACTATAAAAACCACCTATGTAGTCAGTTGGTCTCTGCCTTTCTGCGCCAACGTCCATCCTCAGACACTGTGGGCCCTGTGCGCTCGCGTTCCGCTGCCATGGCAGCAGGGGAGGGGTGGGGTGGTAGGAGCAGTGGCAGCTCCACCAGCAGCGGCTGCCTCAGTCTGCAGTCGATGATGAGTAGCTTTCTTCACCAGCGCAGTGAGGAGGAAACTACTAACCAGCCGCAGCAGCAGCAGCATCAGGTGGACCTGGAGCAGGACCTCAAACAACAGGCTTGGGCCTACTTGGACAGCACCCTGCCAACCGAGGTAGACAATCCCCTTGACTACTGGGCAACGAAACTTGACCTTTGGCCCCAACTAGCTGAATTTGCCCTTGAAAGGCTGTCATGCCCGGCCAGTAGCGTGGCATCGGAGCGCGTGTTTAGTGCGGCAGGAGGTATTGTAACTCCGCGGAGGACACGACTGTCCACCCAAGTGTGGAGAGACTCACGTTTGTGAAAATGAATCAGGCGTGGATTAGTCTGGATTTCAAACCACCAGTTCCTGACACAACTGACTAAATCCGCCATGAATCATGCCCCAAACATGTTATTATTTTTAACATAGGCCTCTGTATGGCCTTCAATTTAAGCTGCTTACGCTTCGCCACTCTGCCATGGGCCCCCGTACCGCCTCCTCATGCTGCTGCCAGGTCCAGAATGTCTCATGGGTCCCTGTACGGCCTCCCATTGCTGCTGTCTCCATCGCCACACTCTGCCATGTGCCACTTTCAGGTCTCCTCACACTGCTGGTGGGTTCCATTTTGTCATAGGGTGCTGGCAGATTACGGGCCTCCCATTGCTGCTGCCAGGCCCATAATCTGCCATGGGCCCTCGTACCGACTCCTCATGCTGCTGCCAGGCCCGTAATCTGCCATGGGCCCCCGTACCGACTCCTCATGCTGCTGCCAGGCCCGTAATCTGTCATGGGCCCCTGTACCGCCTCCTCATGCTCCTGCCAGGTCCAGAGTGTATCATGGGTCCCTGTACGGCCTCCCATTGCTGCTGTCTCCATCGCCACACTCTGCCATGTGCCACTTTCAGGTCTCCTCACACTGCTGGTGGGTTCTATTTTGTCATAGGGTGCTGTATGGCCTCCCATTGCTGCTGCCTCCACCGCCACACTGTGGCTCCACACTCTGGTTTTGGCCCCGTGACTGCCCAAATGAGTGAAGTGTGCGGTGATTCTAAGATCGACGGCACTCATCTGCATGTCATACTAACTGACAGTATTATTTCTCTTCCCCAGCAGACTCCAAGGGCATTTAAATTAAGGGTACAGTGTTCTGCACTAATATAAAGGCTCTCTGAAGCCTAGAAACACCCTTTTTATAAGTTAATTTCGCAGCGAATATATTCGCCTCGAATCGAATTTATTCCTCGAATTCGCCGATTCAGCCGAATCGAATTTTTGAATACTTCGCTCATCTCTAATTATGGCCATGAGCTCTCCCATGCTTCTTTGTATACACAGAGCTGAAGAAGGTATTTAATACGTTTGCCTCCTATTTGTCCCCGGTCACCTACTCTAGATTATTTTGTACAGGGCCTACATGCTCGGACCTGAGCTTTTTACTATTAATATATTTGAAGACTATATAACTATATGTAACAGGTGGCAAAAAATGAATCTTCAAAAGGCTTACTATGCTTCTTAGCAATTATCTTGGAGTGTGTGCCCTCCAAAAATGTTTTTACTGTCCTGGCACATTATGGCCTGCGAAAATGTGACTGGTAGGCAAGAAATCAGATTTAAGGGGTCTTCTATGCAGATAGGCTGCAAAAAAGGACACAGATGTAATGAAACTGATGACTTTGTAATAGAAAATCAATATCTCACACTGTATTTCTGGTGTAGAAGTACACGCAGAGGATTCACAATGAGATGAAAACAAGGCAGTTCAGGCAGTAGATGTTCACAGAGAGGAGAAGGCACAGCCACTCTTCAGGACTTCTCAGAGTGAAGGTGTTGGCATTCGTGCACTAAACCTGCATCCAGGAGACGTGCACTGTTCAGCAACAGCACTCTGTGCAGGCACACTGCATCCTGAGCTGATATTACCCAATTTCCAACCAGGCACTTTACCCCCTTCTTGCCAATTTTCAGAATGCAACTTAGAATGCAAAAAAAGTTTTTCCTAGTTTCTGTTAATGTTTGCAAATAAGTAATTTTTCATATTTACCGATGAGACTTCACTGATGGGAAAGGATATAGAAAAAAAATGCTACAGTGAGCACTCCAAACTGTCAGCAGCTGAACATTAAAGGAAAACACACATAAAATCCCAATATAAATGCAGATAAATAAAAATGCAGTGCTGTATAGTAAACTAAAAATAGAAGATCACACAAGGAATACAGTCTTGTATTGGTGCTTGTTGTTTTCCAGTGCAAATGACAGAAATACGCACTAACCAGAAGCGTATAGATAATACGCTTCCTGTCTGTGGTCAGGCACAGACAGGTCAGGCACAGACAGGAAGCTCCATGTGGGAGGAATTATAGAGGAGACGTTGCTGGAAGTGTGAGCAGAGGAGGAGCTTTTCAACCTTTACAGCCCCGGTGTGATCCTTATACCAGCTCCAGAGAGGGGGAACGTTTCATGCATCTCTGCAAGGACACTTCTGGCCTGTTGGATCTCATCTTCACCACACGAGGGCGCTTCATGCTTACATTTTCCAGTTCCTAATCTACACTCTGACCAGAAAGAGAGGGGAATCTTCAGGATAATTACATATCTGCGTATTATCTATACGCTCCTGGTTAGTGCGCATTTCTGTCATTTGCACTGGAAAACAACGAGCACCAATACAGGACTGTATTCCTGATGGGAAAGGATAGGCTGCACTGATAAGGAGACACTGGTAGGCGGCACTGATTAGTGGGACTGATCGGTGGCACTGATTAGTGGGACTGATAGGCGGAACTGATCATCAGGGCACTGATGATCAATGCCCTGATTATCAGTGTAAATGTTCCCTGTCAGAATAGCCAGTTACCAGCTCTTCTTTCCTCACACTGTGGCAGTGCGTGAGGAAAGAACTGCCAATGATCCTTGGTAAAGGATCGCCATGATTGGCCCTTCACCACCATCAGTGGTCAGCTGTGTCTGAAGGACACAGCTACCATAGAGCGTGTCCAATACATTCCCTGGGGGCGCACAGGGGGGCGGGGGTTCTCTGGGAGGACATCTTTAGATGCCCTCCCAGAACTAGCCGACCCCCACTGTAGCTTTCGGCTATAGCACAGTCGGCAAGTGGTTAAACTAGGAAGACCATTTTCAAGGGGCTTGTAAAAGGGGTGGGTACTCAAAATGCATTGCCTTTCCAGCTACTAAGATTATAAACTGATAAGGTTGAAAAAAATTCTTTACAGTTCAACCTATGTATGGGTATGTGTGTGAGTCATTTTTTTTATAACCATTCCCATAACCCTGTATATTTTGATTCCTGAGGAAAGTATCTATCTAAGCAGTTTTAAGTTGCAAAACTCTCAACTAATTCCACTTCCTGAGGAAGGGAGTTCAACATTTTTGAGTTGAGTTTTTCCCCAGCCCACAGTGACAAACTGCAGCAATGCAGGAGTTCCTTGGCAAATGGACAGACTATAATGGGAGCAATAATACAGTTGGGCCTGCAGATGGTAGACGGTCCAGTAGGCCTCTGTGATTGAATATGCTGGAACTGTAATAACTAGTAGGCCAAACAACTTAGGCCTTAACAGTAAAATCAGTCTGTATATGCAGTAAAGCATGTTTGTTATA